CAATTTGCTGCTTTTCCTTCTGGGATTACTGAGGAGTTTTCAGTTGCTGCAGTGGTTGTTCTCTTTTGCTCAGTAATTTACTTGCATTTCAGGATGCACACAGGCTTCCAGATTCTGAAATGAAAATGTCTTCAGAAGTCAAGAACAATAAATATTTTTAGCTTGTCATGTCAAATTTTAATTAATCACCTCTGCCACCTTTTCCAGCATCAAAGGTTTGCAACACACCCTTGCAAACATCAGGCAGTGAATGTAAGCCTTAAATACATGGCAAATGATTAAGCTTCCTCATGCCTCACATTGAAGGTAGGCTTTTGGTAGGGCTCTTAATGTTTTGGTAGCAATCTTGGTACACAGACAAATTTTCCACCATTGTTTTTCATTTCTGATTTCCATTCTTATCAATATTGATGCCTGTAATTTTCTTTTTAACTTACTCTCAATGTCCTGGCTTGAACAGTTAAGCCAGGACTGCAATAAATTGGTGCAAAATCAGGAAATAGCCCCTGGCCAGATCATGGCACAACTAAGTTTTAAAATGACAATTTCACAGTACATTATTATAAATTAGTTTTATGTTTAGCAAGGAAATCTTAGGGAAGGGCAGACCACGGGAAGGTTATATTGCCACAGCACACACACCATCTGGAGGTTCACAGGACAATTTGGTGTCACCCTGGAGCTCTTTGGAACATGATTAACCTGTTGGCTGGCCCTGCTGATGGGAGGGTGGGATTCCAAAAGCACTGCTGGCACTTGCATCATTTCCCCAGTGTGAGCTTTGCCTCCTGGGCAGTGGAAGCTGATGGAATTCAGGAGGAGCTGAAGGCAGGGCTGGCAGGGGAGCTGCCAGGTGGCATTCCCTGGGGCAGCAGCTCCCCTGCCTGTGACAGGGCACCCTCATTCCTCTGGGTCCCTCAGGGCTTCACTCACAGGGTTGTTTGGGGCATCACCACTCATTGGCCCCAGTGGTCTGAAAAGCAGTATTTCTGTCACAGGGCATGTAGCATTTGGGTTAATATTTTTTTCCCCTATTTTTTGGGGGAGGTGGCCTTTGATTTTTTTTTTTTTTCTGGTGTTTTCTGTGTATTTTTTGTTTGTTTGTTTGCTGTGTTGTTGCACACTTTTTTTTTTTTTTTTTTTCCGGGGGTTTTCTTGTTTTTTTTTTTTTTTTTTTTTTTTTTTTTTTTTTTTTTTTTTTTTTTTTTTTTTTTTTTTTTTTGTTTTTTTTTTAAAACTGGCCAGATCATGGCACAACTAAGTTTTAAAATGACAATTTCACAGTACATTATTATAAATTAGTTTTATGTTTAGCAAGGAAATCTTAGGGAAGGGCAGACCACGGGAAGGTTATATTGCCACAGCACACACACCATCTGGAGGTTCACAGGACAATTTGGTGTCACCCTGGAGCTCTTTGGAACATGATTAACCTGTTGGCTGGCCCTGCTGATGGGAGGGTGGGATTCCAAAAGCACTGCTGGCACTTGCATCATTTCCCCAGTGTGAGCTTTGCCTCCTGGGCAGTGGAAGCTGATGGAATTCAGGAGGAGCTGAAGGCAGGGCTGGCAGGGGAGCTGCCAGGTGGCATTCCCTGGGGCAGCAGCTCCCCTGCCTGTGACAGGGCACCCTCATTCCTCTGGGTCCCTCAGGGCTTCACTCACAGGGTTGTTTGGGGCATCACCACTCATTGGCCCCAGTGGTCTGAAAAGCAGTATTTCTGTCACAGGGCATGTAGCATTTGGGTTAATATTTTTTTCCCCTATTTTCTGGGGGAGGTGGCCTTTGAATTTTTTTTTTTCTGGTGTTTTCTGTGTATTTTTTGTTTGTTTGTTTGCTGTGTTGTTGCGCACTTTTTTTTTTTTTTTGCCGGGAGTTTTTCTGATTGATTTTTTTTTTTTTTAGTCAGAACGGTGATTTTTGCCCTCTGAAGGGGAAATGTTGGAGCTGCAGAGGTTTTGCTGCCCTGTTTTGAGCGCTGCCATGCCTTGGGCAGTTGTGCAAGGGCAGAGCTGTGCTGTGAGCTGCTGGGCAGCCCAGCTCTGGTGCAGGATTTCTGCACCCCGAGTCTGAGCCTCGTCTCTGCAGCAGGCACCCATCAGTGCTCCTGATGTCCCTCACTCCTTCCTTGGCTGTCAGTCGTGCCTTCATACCCGTGCCAGGTACCTGAAGCTCTCCCTCCTCTTTTTTTCGCCAGCTTTACCTTCAAGAACTCAGCCAAAGGTGTTTTTGTGCAAATGAAGCCTTGCTGTGTCACTTGTGTGCACCTCAATACTGAAAAGACATCTTGAAATGAAATTACTTCATTTGTTTTATGTCAAAACACAGATTGTTCATATGACCCTCTGTGATTCCAGTGGTTTTCAGAATAAACAACAGAATTGTCTAGCTGAACTTGAAACACAAGTGTGTTCCTGATATCCAGCAGACGGGATAATGATGGTGATGAGGGTAGTTGATGTAAATATGTGCTACAGTGCTTAAATATTTACTGGTTTCCCTTGAGGAAAAGGATGGTGTGTCTGCAGAAGGGTGCTTTTTACCTGTACTGTGCTGCAGTGATGTGCAAGGTGAACTGTTTGGCATTGAATGGCAGTGCTAAAATTATACTGTCTTTGTGTAATTATATATACAGGCCCACTCACATACATCACTTATGGAGAATGTAATAGTGCATCACAGACACCATCTGATTTTCTTGTAGTAAATTATTTTTTTTAATGAGCAACATTTATTTTGAAAAGATAATTTAAAGATGACTTTGAGATTCTTTTTAGAGACATGTTATGGTATTTTTCTTGCACTTTTCTTCCTCTAGAATTGACTCTTTCTGGATAAATGAAGTGAGAGCTGATGCTGATGCTTGAATGCAATATGCCTGTTTGGGGGGCTGACAGATGTGGGTGATTGCATAAAAAATGCCTTCTGTAATTTAGCTATAGTTGCCGTTGGGTCTGGACCTGGTGTGGCTGCCCTCTAAGTTAGTTTAAATGCATGCATTTTCCTGGTCTAACTGTGTGTTTCTGGCGTGCCTGTCACCATGGTAACTGCACACCTCTGAGTTTAAATTCTGTGGCATGAGATCACTGCAAGTCTTGCTTTACAGAGGTCTGAGTTGCTGCACTTCAGAAGTAGGGAGGACTCTGACATTGTCTCTCCCTTTAACTTGAATCCCCACACAATGGGATTACATCCAGTGCTTGTCTGCACTTGTGTCTTTATTCTAATTTTATATGTAACAGCTTTATGAAACGCAAATAACTTGTTACATAATATGCAGTGCTGAACAGTGTGATTTATCTTTAAATATGCTTTTTAAAATAGACTATTCCACTCTATAAACAGAGCACATTTGTGTGTAATCTTGCTGCACTTTTCACTGTGCTGGAGGTTATTTTCAACTGCACTGTATTGTTGTAAAAGTTTTTATCTTTCACTGCTATGGAGAATCCTATGGACCTGATTAAATGGGTTTTTCCTCTCTATTCATGGTATTCAGGTTTAAGTGATATGCTCAGTTGAAACACCACAGGTTATAAGATTGTCCTTGTACTCATTTATTATTCCTCATTTGGGCTCTGGAGCTGTTTAGTTTCTGAAACCTAACAGGTCTGAGCCTGAACTTCCTTTAGTTAAAGCCTCTTAAATATGAATACTGCTTCTGATTTGGCCTAATTTCTGTTGTGATTGTCTGTAATCCTGCAGTTCTGGTGCTCTTCTGCATGAAGAGTGCATTTTATATGCAGAGTGATGTATAACAAACTAATACAATGCACAAGTGAATAATTTCTCCTCCTGGAATGCCTTTTTTTGTGCTCACGTTACCCAAAAGGAAGCAGAGTGTAGGAGTGCTCAAGTTTGTCTGTTGGAGCCCAGACAGGAATTTCTGTTCCCTGAGCACAGGTGTGGAGGTGGACGAGGCTGGAGGAGCTCTGGGCAGTGAGGACAGTGGGGAGATCCAGAGAAGTTCAGTCAGAATTGGTCCTGAATGACCTCAGACCCAAACCCAGATGTTTTTATCACCCTCACTCATCCTCCTGCCTGTGAAACATCTGGATTTCTAAAGGGTGCATTTAGGGCACCTGTGGAAGTTAAAGGTGTGTTTAGGTAGAATATTTTTCTGACCTGTTTTCATCTGAGCTGGAAGAGGCCTGCTTGCTGCCTGGCTGTAAGCTGGTACACAAGCTGTGCAAAATAAGGTTATACATATCCCTGTGAAATGGGAGCTAAAGTGTCTCTCCCCTCCCCACCAGCTAAATCTTTTTATGCTGCATTCTGACACAAAAACCTCCTTGAAAGTTCTGTGGAACACACCAGGGCAGTGCCCTTCGTGCAAGAAATGCCAGATTTTTGGGTGAATAGCATTTTGTTGTGAAAACAAAAGGTAGCTGCCATACAGTTATGGGTGAGGCTTCTTGAGAGAGGGGGAAACATGTTTAGGGAGTGTGATGGATGAGAAGGGTCCCTGTTCTTCTGGGAAGGTGGGGAGTAAGCTGGAGCCTGTGCACAGTCTGCATTTTTGGGATTTGGGAGGAGGAGGTGGTGGTTCCAGGCTTGGGTCCCCACGCTGGCTTGTGAGGGAACTTTTAGGTTAAAAAATGTGTGAGAGAACTGAAGGCACCCCACTGTAGTTCTGTTATTGTGCTTGGCTTATGAGCTCTTTAGGGAATTGCATTTTGTTGTCTTGGATGTGGAAGTTTAAGAACAATAACTTAGCAATAAGTACATGAAAGCTATTACCTTGATACACAGGGGAATTTTTTTCAGGGTAGTTTTAACTTCAATCCATGTTCCAAGACTAAAACTTAAAACACATCTTCCTTGGGCTGGCAGCACATTGAGCTGAGTATAGAAAAGTTTTCTGGTGCTTTTTATTTGCTGGGTGGGACTTTTTTTGTGTTTTGTATTTTTTGTTTGGTTGTTTTTTTGTTTATTTTTAAAATTTTAGGTGTCAAATGTACAAATTTCTGAACCTTTTTTTCCTTTGTTCTAATTTGCAGCATTACTTTACTGTTCTCTTTGGCCATGAGGGGCAGAAGCCACTGGAGCTGCGTTGTGAGGATGAGGTTGATGGAGATGAGTGGGTAGAAGCTATTCACCAAGCAAGGTATGAAACTCAATTTGTGACCCTCTGATCCATTTTATTACAGATAAATGGATAATACTTTGAGAACCTAAACCCACCTTCCAAACAGAAAGAAATGATTACATTATTAGTTGGGTGTTGTTTGCAATTCGTGAGTACCTTATAGGAAAAAAACACCTTTAACATTCAATGCTTATTTCACTTGCTTTTATCTTTCATAAGCAACTGTGCTGCAGTTGAAATTAGTTCAGAAAAAATAGTGTTTCATTAGAAAGAAGCCCTAGGATTAGTGTTCTGTTAGAGACAAGTGTGTCACGTGAACGAGGAAATTAATGATATGACAGATGAATAAATGACTTTTTCCTTAAAAACTCTTACAGAGAAATAAATGTAAGAAAGAGGAGTCAGGCCATTAAGATAATGAAGTGTGACAAATAAAATTTTGACTTCAAAACTGCAATTCTGAACCACAGTTTTGTGAAAAGGGATGTGGTAGGACCTTGAGCCATGCATTAGTCTGTGCCTGAGGGGAGGCCTGTGTGGCAAGTGGCCACGGTTTAGGTGCAATCTAAATTAAAGAAATCTCACTGAAGGCCTGAGGAATGCAGGAGGTGTGAGAAACCATGCTCGCTCTTCAGAAAGTTTAGAAGTTTAATAAGGGATAAAGGGGATAAAATCTAGTGTTGGGGTGCTTGGCTATTTGCCAAAAGAACACCATTAACCTAAATCATGCTCTCTATATACTGTTACATTACAGGGGGTGCATGCATATTCATAAGAGTTTGAGTTGAATATGTATATATTCAAACATTCCTTTGGGTTTAGATGTTCTTTTGCTTGAGTTTAACCTTTGACTTGTCTGCATGCCATCTTGTAAATTAAACCAATATATTTTATTTCTTCTTGTGGTTCCATCATGTTGTTTTTACACTCCCTGGTAACGAGGAGTCAGTAAATTGGGTTCTGGTTTTTGTCACTCTTATTTTACCACTCAGTCTGCAAATGCTAGGAACCACATAATTATCTTACACCATTCAGTTAGTTAGTTACAGCATGTTAACATCAGACAGTCTCTATTTTAATATTATGCTACACCCTAAGAAACAAGATATTTCTCAAATTATTATTTACTATTTATAAAAACTATGCCATGCATACATAAACTGACAGATCATACTATACCAAAAAGCAGTTAAAAGGAATTACGAATTGTACTATATCAGGATCTTTATGATCAATAATAACTTGCAAAACAAAAGCTAATAGATAAATGTGAGAGCCAATAACTGCATTTGCCATCTATAACAGGAGGGAAAGCTGCTGCTGAAATGCACTTTCTGCAGCCTCCTCCCATCCACACTCACCTCAGCTAATCTGCAGTGCCATGGTAACGCACAAGGAGCCAGGCAGCTCCTGAATTGCTTAGGACACGAGCCATGTAAACAGAAGTGATTCTGCTTCAGAACTAAAATTGAACATGAGCAGCTCGTAGTTTTTAATTTAGAGCTTGTGAAGTGAGGCCCTGGGGCTGTAGGCCTTGCGCTGCCTGGGCAGCCAGCGTTGGGATCTGTGTCCTCCTCTTGGGCTGGTGATGCCTGGAGAGGCTGCCTAGAACACAGGTTAGACAGTGTTAAAGGAATAAAGTGGAGATTTATTAAAAGGCCTCAAAGGATGCACCTTGGGCAGCACAAAAGTCTGGCCAAGGCTCCACCCAAGGTGCACCCAAGATGGACTCTGAGTCACGAGTTCTCACACTTTTATAAGTTTTGGTCCATTTCCACACTGGGTTCATTGTTCAGTTCCAGCTCAGCTGATGCAGTCCCACCCTCCCAAGTTGCTCTCCTCCATCCCCTGCTGTTTGCACTTTTGGGGCTGAAGCTGCAGCAGTGTCCTTGGTTCTGGGGCTGGCAAAGGATTGTTCTGTGTGCCTGAGCTGTGAGGAGAGCTGCTGACACTTTACATGACGTTCAGAGTTACATACTAATGCAGCACAGAAAATATGGAAAATATGAAAGATAAAACCGAAGGTATGGCTGGTGCCAGCTGAGTGTAGCCCTGTCCTCTCCCAGGACAGCCCTGCAGGGTGGGCAGTGGTGCAGCTCTGGGTGACCACAATCACCCTGTGCCCTGGGGGTCCCTGGGCTGCTGCATTGCTTGTCCTGGTATGGGACAGGCTCTGCTGTGCAGTGCTTGATGCCTTGGAGTGGCTGCCTGGAGCAGAGGTTAGACAAGAGTAATAGAATAAAGTGGGTATTTATTAAAGGCCTTCAATAGGTGCAGCTTGGGCAGTCTGGAGCCTCCCACAGGCCACACCCAAGATGGACAATGGTCACGAGTTTTTCAGGCAATTTTAAGTTTGGTCAACTTACATTTCAGGGGTTAATCCTCCAGTTCCACCTCCAGGTAATGAATCATTTCCCCCCAGTTTGCTCTCCCCAATTCACTTTTGTTTATACTTCAGGGCCTGAGGCTGTAGGGTGCCCTGGAGTTTCAGGCCCAGAGGGATTGTGTTGTCTGACCCAAATGTGAAGACAGGAACTAACGCTGTATTTGGACTTCAGAGTTATCTACTAATGCAGCACAGGATCTGAAAAACATAAAAGCTGAATCAAGGCATCCTACTTGTGAGTGAGGAAGGGAGCAGGGCTTTTTGCCTCGTGCTCATGGGCATCCAGGGACATCAGCATCCTGGGCTTCCCTCTCTGCAGCAACTGTTTGGTTTTGCCACAAGCTTTCCCTGCCAGGAGGAGACACACAGGGGAGATTTGGGCTCTTCTTCCAAGGACTGGGACTGGAGGAGAGGGAACGGCCTCAGGCTGGGCCAGGGCAGGCTCAGGGTGGGCACAGCAGGAATTTCCCTATGGAAAGGGGGCTCAGGGACTGCCTTGGCACTGCCCAGGGGGGTCTGGAGTGCCCATCCCTGGAGGTGGCACCTGGAGGTGGCACCCAGAGCCCTGGGCTGGGGACAAGGTGGGGAACTGGGCACAGCTGGGACTGGATGGGCTGGGGTGCATTTTCCACCCTCAGTGATCCTGGGATTCCTACCCATTGCCTGGTGTAAAAGGCACATAAGCAAGAAGAGCTCCATAACATGAGGTAAATTTTTTTGTCCTTTTAGTTCAGTCTGTAAATATGCCGCACGTGAATTTTCAAGGTAAAAACTGACACGAAATGAAGGCAATGGTGAACAATGCACAGCTGAAAATATTGAGAATTTGCAGAGAAGTTGGTTGTGACATTCAGGGTCAGGGTGGCTGGCTTTTGTCTCCACCAGGGAGTTGTAATTGCAGGTTGTACAGGACAGGTGGGTCTCTGAGATAACTAAGATCAGTATTTTTATCTCCACCCCTTTTGCTATTTGTCTGTTTCCATCTTATTTGATAGAAACAAAAGAAACATATTACCTCCTGATGATATGGAACTGTGGGCATCTCTGTGAGGAACAGTCTCAAGGTCCTATGCCATTTGGGGGATTTTCTTCATCACTGTTTCTGCATAGGTATCTAAATTTCCTTGGGCAAGTTTCCCAGGGATACAGACACTGCTTTCTTATGTTTTCTCGCACAAAATTACAACAAATGACCAGAAAAAAAATAATTGTAAAACTTCGTTGGTAAGCATGGAGTGTCCTTCCCTATTGTGGCTTACCTCCTTGCTCTAATGATTTTCTACTTCACTGGAAGCTGCTTTTGTTTGCTTTGCATTGTGTCGAGCAGAACAGCCAGGAGTTTCTAATTAGTTACTAAACCATTGGGTCTTTTGCTGAAGATACATAAACAGAGGATAAAGTAATAGTTTTTGAGTATTGTCTAAGACTTTTCTTGCCAGCTTAATTGAACAAAAGAGCACAGATTGTCTTTAGGGATTGAATTTTGCCTCCAGCATGATCTAGACCTTTTCCCTTAAGTTTATCTGTGTTTTTGACAAATGGGAGAAGTTTTGGCAGCTTCTGAAGTGCCACTGTTGATTTGAGCCTAGCCTAAGGTTTTTTTTTAGGAATTGATGAATGGCATTTTATGTAGCACTTTAAAGATGCTTTTTTGTACTATCTCAGGTGTCTTAGTTACAAATTGTAGGAGGCATTGAGAAGACTGCCACTACTCTTATATTGAAAAGAGACCTGGGAACATCATGTTCCTTGTGAATATGCTGGCATTTGAGACAGGGAAGTATTTAATTGCTTTCCAGAGGGTCACAGCCTCATGAGGAGCTGCAGTAATCCCTGTGTTAGCTGAGACAATGCAATTGAGGTAGTTGAAGCTTTTGTTTTCTTAGATTGACATACAGAAAATCTAATTTTGGACTGCTTATCATTATTTTTTTCCCCCATCACATATTTGTAGCCATCCACATTTCTTCCACCTCTAATTTACTTTGTCAGTTATAAACAGAGTGTTGAAAAAAGGCTGCTCCAATCTCACTGCACCCCATGGCCCACTCTGGGTAAATAAGAATTTTATTTGGATGCCAGTACCTAACTAAAGAATCTTTTCTTCTGTGATGTTGCTGTCCACAGAGCCCTCTCCTCACATGGGGGATTGTTTGGCTTTTGAGCAGGAAGAGGGATATTTAATCCAGTATATTTCACTGGAACCTCATTATCAGTTCCACACCTGTACTAAGTTTTCTCCCCCTTCCATTTTATTTGAATTGTCACTATTTTGGTTTCTCATTAATATCCAGGGTGGCAGAGCATGGTTTGCTCCTCCTGAGCTACATTTTTGGGAAGGAGGATTTATTCCTGGTAAATCCTAATTCCTCTGTCAGTGACTGCATTGGGAAGTCCTGTTTTTGGCTTTCTTCCAGAACTGGTTCTCTTATGAAGAAATCTCTTTCACCCTCAATACAATGAGGTGTACTTATCACTCTCTCTTACAAAATCTTCTATATTATGAGGATTTTTTGCATTTAGCTCAAAAACTCTTATGTTATTTTTTTTTTTTATATATATATGAATGCAGTATTAATATGATTTATTGGACTTTTCTGCTTCAGCTTATTCCAAAGTCTTAATTTTACCA